GAGGCCTTAGCCATTCAATCTAGCACAATCGAACGTATGGACGGGAGCGTCTCCCACCTGACACGTCGAGTAGGAATCCTCGAATCTAAAATGAAAATGATTGACTCTAGCAAACTCAAGACGACCAACACTGATACGATTGCAAAAGCCAAGATAGTGCAGCAGGATTCGGACGCTACGAGTTCGCCGCAGGCTATGTTCCTTCAATAATATTCAAAATGGCGGGCCAAACCGGAAACATAATTATCTGGCAGTGGAATTGCGCAAGTTTCTTAAGGCGTAAAGCTGCTCTACTGCAGTTCATCAAAGCACGGGCGTCAATGCCGCACGTCCTGCTCTTGCAGGAAACACTTAGCGAGAAGGTAGTTCTCTCGGGCTACCGTTCGATTAGCCAAAAAGGCGCAAATGGCAGAGGTATCGCCACGTTGGTCAGGAAAGATACCTCCTTTGACCAGCACGAAGTCAAAATTTGCGACTCGGATAAGAGATCCGGTCTCGAGGCACAATTAATTGAAATCATCCCCAACGGCAAAATCCGAAGCAACATATTCGTTTTTAACCTGTATAGCCCTCCTTCGGCTTATAAACATAATATCCGCTCACTCCTTCATAGGGTCGCAACTGCCACCAGATCGCACCCTTTAATAGTAGCTGGGGATTTCAACGCTCCCCATCCGTCTTGGGGCTATGTTACGAGGACAAAGAAAGGGGCCAATCTAGTTGCAGCCAGTATAGACTTAAACCTAACGCTTATCTCCGACCCGCGTTTTCCCACGAGGCTGGGAAACTCGGTCGCCAGAGACACGATGCCTGATCTCAGCTTCACTAGAAATGCGGTGGTCGAGTGGTCCAACTTACAGGAGAACTTGGGAAGCGACCACAGCATCATAGAACTCCGGATGGAAATAAGAGCACCACCCCCAAGAACCTATAAATATACAGACTGGGACCTTTTTAGGCAAATCAGAGGTGAAGATGAGTCAGTACATGACACCTTCAGTGAACTTCTTATACAAATCCAGAAGGATGTCGAGAAGGCCACCAAAGAAATAGTAACAGAATTTGATGCTCCGGGGATGGATGCAAGGTTAGCGCATCTCCTGGACGCCAAACGCTCTCTCATCGCGAGATGGAAAAAACAAAGGCTAAATCGCAGGCTACGGAAAAAGATTGCGGAGCTCAATCGGCATATTGAGGAGCACTGCTCCGAACTCCATAAACAACAATGGAGGGACGCCTGCTCGGCTGCGGACGGGAAAATGCGCAAAGGAGGCAAATGGACCCTCTTCAAACACCTCCTAGATGATGGACAATCCAAAGGCAATCAGAAACTAGCCATAGACCGACTTATTAATAAGGAGAAAATGGCAGGCATCTCAGAAGCTTCCCAATTTCAGATACTTGCCAACAAGTACCTCCCGCTTAGCCAGAGCTCAACTTCTGTCCCCCACCGGTATGAGGGTGTGCCTTCCCCAGAGTTGGACGCTCCCTTCTCGGAAGCTGAGATCAGGGAAGTGCTCCATAGCCTAAACGGAAGGTCTGCCCCAGGTCCCGATGGAGTTACGAATCGGCTCTTAAGAAATTTGGATGATAAAGCCATTCAGGCCTTAGTGAAGGAGATAAACAGGGTATGGGAGGAGGGCGTCGTACCAGAAACTTGGAAGAGGGCCACAGTGGTCTTAATCCCCAAGCCAGGTAAATCACCCAGCTTAGATCACCTCCGCCCGATCTCCCTTACTTCTTGCCTTAGCAAAGTAGCAGAACATGCAGTACACAACAGGATATCGCGCTACATCGAGAGGAATGACCTATTTCCATATAATATGGTAGGTTTCAGGCCCTCACTTTCCACGCAAGATGTCATGCTTCTCCTCAAAACACACATAATTGACTTTCCAAGCAAAGATGTAAAAGGGGTCCTCGCACTAGACCTCACTAAAGCATTCGATACTGTCAAACACGACTATATTCTTAAGGAGATATCGGCTTTGAACCTGGGAGTTAAATTCTTCTCCTTCGTTGAATCTTTCCTCGAGAGTCGGACGGCAGCAATAAAATTGGGACAATCAGTCTCGGAACCTTTCAAACTCGGACGAAAGGGTACTCCCCAAGGGGCAGTTATCTCCCCCTTCTATTCAACATAGCCATGCGCAAGCTGTCGGCAAGCCTTTCTAAAGTTCCTAATGTCGGACACGCTTTATATGCTGACGACATTACAATCTGGTGTCCCGGAGGATCGGAGGCGGCGGTTGAACAAGCTCTACAGGAGGCTCTGGACGTTACAGAGTCTTTCCTGGAAGGTACTGGACTGGCGCTTTCGCCGGAAAAGTCGGAACTCCTGCTGTACAGACAGGCTAGACGAGGTGTTAGGGGACTCACCCCTCTCGATCAGGTGCCCATTAGCGTTTGCACCAAGGATGGTCGCACAATTCCTAGAGTCAATTCTATGAAAATTCTGGGGCTTTTATTAGACTCTAAGGGATGCAACGCAAAGACTATAGCCCATCTCACCACAAAAACAGAAAACATTCTGAGATTAATTATGCGGGTGTCCAACAAGAAGGGCGGCATAGGCGAGGATATCCTCCTTAGGGCCCACCACGCTTTCCTCATGAGCCATATCATATACATAGTGGCGGCTCTCAATTGGACCAAAACGGAAAGGGATAAATTGGACACGCTCATGCGCAAAAGTGTCGAAAAGGTGCTCGGCGTCCCAATCACGACTAGCACAGAAAAACTCATGAAGTTGGGAGTGCACAACACCACTTCGGAATTAATTGAAGCGCAAAGGTCAGCACAAATAATTCGGTTATCGAGTTTCAAAACAGGAAGAAAACTGCTCGATGCGGCAGGCCTCCGTCCTATCTTCAATCAGGGAGAAACTACGCAGCTTGATTATCAAACAAGGAATTCCTTTATTGTTGACCCTCTTCCACGAAACATCCATCCCCAACACAATAAAGGTCGTAGGTTGGCGAGGGCTAGGGCTTTCATAAAGAACCTCTCCGGAACAGAGACATTTGTGGACGCGGCGCGCCACACCGGCGGCAGCAAGTTTTCCGTGGCAGTAGTCAATGACAGGGGAGAACTTGTCTCGGCAGCTTCAGTGAAGACCTCCTTGGTCGATGTAGCAGAACAGGCTGCTGTAGCGCTGGCATTACTGGACACGAAACGCACCACGGTGTACACCGATTCCCGAGCGGCCGTTAGGGCGTTCGCATCGGGATTGATAGCCACAGAGGCAGCCAGAATTCTCCACAGCAAACCCCCCTCAGACGTTATTCATCACATAGTCTGGTTTCCCGCTCACATGGGACCAGACGTACTGCCGGGTCACCTGAACCCAAACGAGATAGCCCACGACTGTGCACGAGGTTTCAGAAGCCGCGACGGGGTGGTCTCTCGGGTGAGTTCGGGAGAGCTCGTCCACAGTGATCCTCTCGTTACTTTTCACGAGATAACATCTCATTACAGAGGAGAGCGACAGACTTTTCCCTTTCCCCATCATGAGCTCCACAGATCACAAGCAAGCACGCTCCGCATGCTCCAGACGGGGTCTTACCCCTCTAGGGGCTTTCTGAGCATGCTTCATCCGGATATTGATCCACTTTGCCCAGATTGTGGTGAATTTTGCTCTTTGAGTCACATGCTCTGGCAGTGCCCTGCGTTACAGGATTTTAAAACAGAAGAAGACTGGACGACGGCAATCACAGACCCCAGACAAGACGTCCAGCTTCAGGCTGTCCAGAGGGCCCGTGAACGAGTGGAGAGGCATGGCCTCTCTGTTCCGACATGGGACTAGCCAACGGCTGGGTGGGGACCTACATAGTTGGCCCACTGCCTTGCCTCTCAGGACCAAATAAAGTTGTTTGTCCTGTGTGGAGTGCGAACTCTCGCAACTCCTTGCCAGTGAAATTGAAACAGCTTTCGCCCTGCAAAGGTCTCGTAAAGAAGGGCTCTTTTCGGGTGGTGCCCCCTTAGACATCAATGGGTTTGTTCCGCTATAGTGTATACACTATCAAATAATATGTTGCCGACAAAAATAGCAATCGAGATGACTATTGGTAACTCGATTTCCAATAAAATATGCGAAGACTCCGAGGCTGATAAAGGAAAACTAGTAACAATGAAAGACACACTTGTAGCAGCGTATATCCTGAAAAAGCTGCCACATTAAACTCGTTCGGAATGCAAAGATAATGCACAGTTTCCTTCAAGAGTTTATCATGCCTCAACTAAGATGGTGGACACAGCCGCTACATTGGGGGGAGGGGCACGGCTTCACTCTTGAGCAATAATTTCCACTCCGGAAATTTTTAGAACTTCCTTGCTCCCCTCAACCGTTCACGCTCCTTCGCCCAGCGTGTTTCATCCCCGCTACAGCCATGCCCATTTGCGGCCTTCGATAGCTTTCGCTCGCGCATAGAATATAGGACGCACAGGGCGACGTTGTCGATTCGGAAACGTTACGGCGGCGACGAAATCGTGCCTCGAGTGGCCATATAACAATGATCGCAATAAAAGAGACGGATAAGAGATGCATCGTTAAGTTGCCTTACAACACTGGCACATAAGGCGGTCAACGAGTGCCTGAAAATCGAAACGGATCAAGGGCCAACAGGGAAGTGGTATTTCTCCTGGCGCTGGAAGGCCTTTTAAAGACCAGCTACTACTAGCCTAAAAGCGGTATACTGAGGGTAGGGTAGCAGTCATTTGTTAAAGGAACGGAGATAGGCAGAAGCTCTATATTTGGGCATAACGCGAGTACAGGTGGCACTCAACTACAGAACCGAGACAAAGATCAAGCCGCGGGAAACGGGTAATAGCTTCATGTTTGGGCCGTCTTATGATCGCACGTAACAATCAACGAGGATTGAATAATCAAAACCGGCCAGGAGTTGGGCCCAAAAGTGGTCTGCTTGCCTGAGAAGGCAAGTTTTGTAGATACCACCTCTACCTTGTTTAGAAGTGGTCTGTTAAGAGCTGAGTAATAGATGTTTGTGAAAAAAATCGAGACGGGCAACAGCTATAATTTGGGCATGTCTATAACGCGAGTACAGATTGACGAGGATAACCGACGCAAGGATCAAGCCGACGGCCGGAAGTGGTCCTTCTCCTTGCGCAGGAAGGCCATGGTGGAGACCGGGTCGTCGAGCTTGGCGTGCTTGTGGACCGAGGCCTCGCCGACGCGCATGAAAGGGTTGAAGCTGCGCTCCTCGGCGATGGTTGACGGTACGGTGGGCTCCTTCTTGGCGCGCTTCTCACGGGCCCACTTCAGCTTGGTCTTGATCGCCTCGTTGTCCGGCTCGACCGTCGACGCGTACAGCAGGTTGTTGACCGTGTACTCGTGGCCGCAGTAGACGCGCGTGTCGTCTGGCAGCTTGGAGAGTCGCTCGACCAGCGCCTTGTACATCTGGTCTGCCGTGCCCTCGAAGAACTTGCCGCAGCCGGCGATGAACAGCGTGTCGCCTGTGGGGGAAGGATGTCCACCCGTCAAAAATTGTACCCGAACATACGGCAGAATTGTCCATCGAAGCTGTGTAGACCATTCTGCGAATGTGTTTCGGTGTTTCCAAAGTGGGTGAGCTGTTTACCTTGCCGTTAATATTTAATGTTCTATGGTACCCGAATCTAGTAAATTTTTCTAAGAGCCTCTATGACACATACTACAAAGCCAAGAGAGGATTTGGCAGCACTTGCAGCCACCGTGATTCAAATGATATGCTTGTAACATCCTTCCATTCACCCATCCATCAATCCACGGTCAACACAGTACAGCTAGGAACCACTGGTGGCACATCTCTCGACGTCAAGTCAAAGTATTGTCTTTGCTAGCATGCAGTGATAAATAGACACCGAGTCTTTTTTAACACAAAAATGTTTTATTTGGTGGTCCAGCAACACTTCACTGCAGTGTTTCTGTCATGGATATGAAGTTTGTAAACTGCATACAAATGTATAACGAAGAAAAACTAGAAAAAATTTCCTTCATTGGGAATCAAACCTACTACATTTGATCACTGACAATAGGCGTTCAGCGCAACATTTTTTGCATTATTGACGGACATGCATGAGGCTCCCCAAACTAGCGTTACATTTCACTGTGGCATTACTCATGTCCTATAATTGTGAGTGTCCTCATTATAGCTCCCAAATATAACAGCTTTCGGCAACATTAGTACGGTACGATGACCGGCCGCTTTCGAAGCAGTCAATTTTAGAGTGCCGGGACGTTCGTTCTTCCAGCCAAAAAGCCACGAAGGCGCTGCTAATGTTTCTGTGGTCAACCGGACACGTAGTGTGACTGTGACAGTCCCATGCTCGAGTCTGTGCGCATTTTCTATTTTCTTTTCTTTAGCCATCCCTTTCTCTCCTTTTTTCCACTTTACCTTTTCATGCCCATTTCCATCTCCCCAGTGCAGGGCAGCAAACCAGAAATTTTCTTCTGGTTAACCTTCCTGCCTTTCACCTAACCTTATTCTCTCTCTCACACGCATCATCTCCCACTGTGCTCCTGGCTGGCGGGGTGGTGCCGCCATCTGGGAGCGGTGAAGTGAAATGCTGCGTAGTGACACTGAGCGACGATAGCGCGTGATTAGTTGACGATGCAGTTCGGGCGTCTCGGTGCTAGCAAGGAACGCCGGCCGCGTTGGCGTCGAGAGTGCACTCGAGATGCTGCAGTTACGTTCTTTCGTTCTTTTCCTTTCGCATCATGTTAGTGTGTGTTAGCTCGTTTTCGGAGTATATCAGCTTACACACGCACCAACTGTGTTCCTTTGCAGTCCGAGTTTTCGAGTGCGATAGCATTGACTAATCAAAGTGCTGCTATAGGCATCGCAGAAAGGCAGCGCTGTCGACAGACCAAAGCGGTAGGCACAGATTCGCAGCTTGACCCGGAAAGCCCTTTGTCCATTCGCGGCTCAAGCTGCAAACCTCTGCTTCTCGTGTTCCCTAAGAGCAGTGTGGTGGTGTAGGCATGACTATACCAGCATAGATTACCGTACTACTGTGGAGCGCACACCGAGCTGTTTCTCTTTTCAGCTGACGACATTTTGAAGGTATGCATATCGAGTACCAGTGTGTACTATATGCTTGTTCATACCATATTTGAGTGGGATCCCACATATGCTGTGTCCAGGTATTCGTTAACGGCTCCAGCAACCAGAAGAGTTAAGTCACCATCATGAGTGGTAGCCGTCAGGATGGAGATGTGCCAGGCATCAACGTGGGCGCATCCACGTCAAACCATAAACATTGTACAAGCTATCATATGTCAATGTGTAATACACATACTTTCACTAAGACACTTTTCAACTTTGTATTATACTGCAGAGTAAGGATGATCCATGTTTCTTATGGGCGAAGCTCCTTAAAAGGCCACTCGCCACACCCCATACTAAATTTTATTTAGTTAGACTGTGGAAGTTGTTGGGTGTTTGATGAACATTTTGCCACAAAAATTTTTTCATTCGTTTGATTACGAACTGAGAAAACTGCTTTATTGAAGTGGCGCGAAATGAGGATGAGAGGAGGCGAACTCGAAAGCCTTGCCGCTCCTCCGCGTAGCCTTCTCAAGCCAAATTTCTTCCCTACCCTCTCCGGCACCCAACCAAGAGGTCACGTGCGCATGATGTGCCCGAACATGCCCAACCCCCGTGCATGCGAGCGGAGTTTTTTGTTGTTATTTTGTTATTGACCAGCATTGTTTTGAGGTCTACTGCCTATTTCTGCAGGATGGTTTGGAAACGCTGGCTTACACGCGGTAGAACAGATCAGCACAACGAGTGCTCGAACGCGAAATAGCCTCGCATCTTGCTGCTACTCACAAGAAAAAAAAAGAAAAAAGAACGCTCACATTCCCTTATCACGTCTCATTATTTATCTAGAGATTTATTAATCTCTTCAAACAACAAATACATAAACTACGCATGTCGTGTTAAATGATTTTCGCCATGTCACATTCAACTGTTGGCGACGTCAGAGCATAGTCGATGATGATGATGATGATGATGATATGTGGGGTTTAACATCCCAAAACCACTATATGATTATGAGAGACGCCGTAGTGGAGTCAGAGCATAGTCGCCAACCAACAACCATCAGGGAACGTGCACAGATCTCATTTTTGCCAACTTCAGGCTAGATCCAATACCACAAAGTAGTAATGTTGAAGGCAAAACGGTACTCGCAAATCAACACAGTATATCATTTATGACCAATAAACCTTGTATATAACTGTACCCTGCTTTGTCACCCATGTACATGCGAGAGTGATCAATGTCGCGGGTGATTGATGGTACCACCGAACGATCCCACTGCTTTGCCCACTCATCATCATTCACTTCGAGGACATGCTATGTTTTTTTTTTTTAAGAAACTCAGCGGTCAACGATTAGTGGAGAAAGCACCAATCGAGTGCTGCAGTGCAAAAACAAAAAGTTCCCGCAGTTCAACGTTAGCTATCGCTGACCGACTGAGAGGAGTGCGTGGAAGAGAAGACCAACCGACACTACACATGTCCCTTGCCATGACGACTGACGTTCAAGGAGGAACTTGACGTTGCCTTAGCAAACGCATGCACACGATCGTCTTAACAGCGTAGCATTTTTGGAGACCAGCTTGTCATTCATCCATGGAACTCATGTGGCATGGTCACGCTCACAGTAAAGTCCTCAATGCAAGTCATAACAAGGCTAGTAATGCTCAACACCGGGTTGAAATGAACAAACAAAATAGTATAACAAACAAATGACCAAAACAGAAGCAACCGCAATAACAAACTTGGAATCACTAAAACACTTCGGGATCATGTGGCTGGGAGATGGCACACAATGTTTTCTCTCACCAGCTTTTCTATGACACCAAACCGAAAGATAGAAATGACTCGACGAAACTCGCTGCAGACAACGTATACATCTCTACTGCCATGACAACCAGCAAGTCCAAAGGCGCATCAAAAGGTGGTACACATGCCACTCACCAAGTTTGCGAATCGCCTTAACAAGATTTTACTCATGCCAGGTAAACCGCACATGCTTACATCAAACGTAGCCGTCATCAACGGTATGACAAACGGAGCAACGGGAACTCTACGAACGGGAAGCTCTGCCTGACCGTGCTACGCACTTCAGGTTTCAGAGTGGCGAAACTGAATTTCTTTTTCTTTTTTGAGGAGGAGCCTTTGTACCTAGAGGAGGAGAATTATATCCCGAACGGAAACTGCAATGGACCATGCTTGTATGGACGCATCGAAGAGAGAGAAAGAGAGAAGTTAGCAACATGAAACAGAATGCCCCTCTCTGTATTTTTTCTGAGGAAAATGAGCAGGTGCCAACAACACGGACAGTGGCACAGAAAGAAAAATAAACACGCTTTCACTGTGCAAGCGTATATGCACAGCATATACCTTGGGTCGCACGTGCACCCCCTTCTGTTCCTCACTAAAGCATCCCCGTGGTTTTTCTGACGTAGCTAGTGTGTTTTGTGACGTTTGGTTTCACTATCTATTCTTCTCAGCTGTCGGATATGAAATTTCAAAGAAGGGTTTTCTGAATGAACCATACTTCTTTCGACAGGATCGCTACAAAGAGAAAAGGCCAAAGTTTTAGAAATGTTTCACAATCTGAGGTGTTAACTAGAGGCACTGTTCAGAAAATACCAAAGACAAATTAGGTCTGTTCGCACTGGCAAATTACCCTTCTCCATTGAAAGCGTACCTATGCACCTTGTCAACGAAGGCTTTCAAGGTGCCGCCACAATCCTTTCTCGCTGTTCTTAACATGCGTGTTCTCCCGAAAATGCCCTGTTGACACTGTGGTGGCAGCTTCTGTGCCCCTGTGCAACAGCTGAGAAAGAAGGAGATCCTTCTCTCCATTGAAAAGGTGTATAGATGACTGGCTCTTCCAACCAGAGCTTTATGTGTGTTGCATAATTTGAGCTGTTAAGTAGAGGCACTATTATAGAAACACCAAAAAGAAAATTGGGTTGTTTTGCATAAAAAAATTACCCTTTTAAAATGACAATGGGCAGATTACTGGCTGAGTTTTGCAATGAGTGACTATTTTTGCGATGGCCATGATGCTTGAGAGATGGAGAATGTGAGTTAACATGTATAGCATGCAAAATATTCGTGTTGTTTTCAAAAGTTTATAATACTGCTATTCAAGCATATGTTTAATCATAGGTTGATAGAACAGACCACCGAGCAAACTGGTTAGGACACATCTTAAGAAAGTGAAGCATCTGAACGACTGATTGATATGTGGGGTTTAACATCCCGAAACCACCATTTGATTATGAGAAACACTGGATAGCGCTCCGGAAATTTTGAATACCTGGGGCTCTTCAACATGCACCCATATGCAAGCAAATGGTCCTACAGCATATTTGCCGCCATCGAAAAAGTAGCCGCCGCAGCCGAGATTCGATCCCGTGACCTGCGTGTCAGCAACCAAGTACCTTAGCCACTA